CCGCAACGGCTCTGCCCAGCACACATACGCAGGCCTCTCTGTACACCTCAACAACACTAATCCATACAAATTAGCTAGGTGTCAGTTTTGATCCACAGTTAATATATAACTGACTAATGTTCATCCCCCAAAAAAACCAAAGAAACATTTCAATTCAGATTCAAATCGAGAACCAACAATACCAGTCTATATAAAAAGAAATAAACTTAATTAAACTAAAGATTTTGGTTTAGGTACTGCATGTCATGAGTACGCTGAAGCCATCATGGTTGGGGTGGGCATTGTCCCAGCTCGTTGAGATGGGGGGGTTGCCCTGGCAACGTCTCCCCGAGCGACAACGGCATCCCTGAATGCAGGTACCCGGCGGGCACACAGCGGGCACACTGCCTCCACAGCCACAGCACAGCTGCTGCACGCTACGCTCCCGCCTACGGCATCCTGGATCACCGCACTTACCATACGGGTCAATTGCCGACAGAACGTTCTCATATCACGGTGTCACTAACAGGAAAATTTCGGCTGCATCACTTGGGAGTGTGCCACAGGACCCACACGCAGGACCCACACGCAGGACCCACACGCAGGACCCGCACGCAGGACCCGCACGCAGGACCCACACGCAGGACCCGCACGCAGGACCCNCACGCAGGACCCACACGCAGGACCCACACGCAGGACCCGCACGCAGGACCCGCACGCAGGACCCACACGCAGGACCCGCACGCAGGACCCGCACGCAAGACCCGCACGCAAGACCCGCACGCAGGACCCGCACGCAGGACCCGCACACAGGACCCGCACGCAAGACCCACGCACCCCGGGACTGGCTGCCATCTGCACCTCGACGCTCCTCTTCCATCCCAGGTGATCCCAGGTGTGTAGAACCCGGTAAGACTCCCCATCTGCAAAAACACGGCAGCAAGGCTTGTCGCAGGCCTGCGAGACATGATCCTGACGGGGGTCCACCTTCTCTCACATTACAGCTCATTGGCTGACAAGTGAACTCGTCTCTGTAATCCTGCAGCCTCCCTCGTAACTCTGCAGAGAATTTCTCTCTCTCTCCCCGAGATCTGTACTTTTTTTGTAAAGCACAATTTCACAAAACATTATTCCTCTCTGGGATAAACTCCTTCCAGGGGTTTTGGGGGGTGGTCAGAGAGGCTCCGGGGTGGGGGGGCATTGCTCTTGATGAGCTGAAACCATGTCCACAGAAAACAACCCTGGCTGCAGCATGGTGATAGTATGCTAATGACATGGTAATCATATGCTAATGACATGGTAATCTGACACTAGTATTCCACATCAGCGAGAAGCGGGAGGATTTTCAGTGAACTGCTAACATAGTCTGAGAACTCAAACACATACATACACACACACACACACACACACACAGCAGAACCCAGCCACAAACAGAAAAATATACACATTCCAGGAACCAGCAAACCACACACACAACCTACACAAAACAACAGCAAACGATACATACACAAGTCACACATTTACACAGCACGCCATACAATAACACAGCACAAGTACATACATTAATAAGCCGTACGGCCTTTATCTAGACCCCTCCACTAGCGCTCACACCCGCCCCCCGGCCCAGTGCAGCCACACCCACCACAGAAGCCCCTCCCCTTAACACTCAGGACACACCCACCCTTCCTTAGACTAATGCTTAAAACCGTGCATGCTGTTCAGAACTGATAGCACGATTTAAATACTAACATCCAGGACTGATTACATGATTAACATAACACTGACATTCAAAACTGATTGCACGATTAACATAACAGCAAAGCGAACTATTAGTGCATTATTAATCATGCAATCAGTCCTGTATGTTACTACACCAATCAGTATGTTGCTGCTTCACAAACTCAGTTACCTCAGTTATATTTTTCCAAACAAAACGTTTTTGATTGGCAGGTGCTGCTCCATGCTCATTGTGAGAAGACCTGAGTGTGTTGGGGAGGCAGGTCTTTCAGTTAAATTCACAAAAACTGGATTAATACAACTCAAAGCCTACCAGATGGGAGGCGGCAAATTCCAGTTATTCGGGGGAAAGATTTAAATGTGGCTGACAACTGAGAGAAATTAAGGCAGAGTGAGGAGGGACTCACGCGGGAGACAAAGCGCAGGCCATACCTCTGAGCCGGGGCTCTGGCCTCTGCAACACCTCCCTCCGTTTGCGTGACATGAACATTGGCATGGTGGTGCTGCGCTGCCCTCATGTGGTAAAGCACAGCCACTACAGGGCCCAGCAGGCAAGCAGCAGTGCCCTCATGGCCTGGAGCCAATACAACAGAGTGCACATCTGAGTCAAACCAGAATATTCTTCCAAAGACAGGATGTTCAGGGTTGATGGATGAACAGGTAGCAAGAACCACATTTATACAAGCACTCTCTCTGGGCACGTGTGTATAATGTGAAACATATTAGGCCTACATTTTGTCTTTTAAAAGTTGATCTGTGCAGTTGAACTGCACCTAATCGTTGTCACACTCATATTCAGACATATTCATGCTGATTGTTTTTTGCCTGCTTGATATCAGAGGGTTTTCATCTTCAGGTTTTTACACTGGTACCCGTGTACACTCACTGGACGCTTGGCCTAGCTACTCTTATGCCTAGTTAACTCTTTCACAGCACATATGTTTGCAATATACTATTTGCCTCACTTCTACGCTGCTTTGGACAAAACCGTTAGCTAAATATGTAAATGTACACCGAGGCTGTAACAGTTTGTCTAACAGTACAGGAGCGATCGGGTGCATTTAAAGCACATTTTAGGTGTTTATCACAACACCACACAGCAAGCAGGGTTGTGTGGATGCTGTTCTAATGCAAGAGGGTAAGGGTGAGAAAATACGGATAAAAGAGATATTTCTCAAATATTCTGAATTAGATAAATGTTCTCCGCTTATTTTCACTAATATCATGCACCATCATGCACCACGCAGGACAGCTAAGGACGCTGACTGCCCTTGAGTGAATGTGGTAACACCCACGACAACAGCAGTACATCATGTCCACCGCAGCATCTGAGTTCAAGCGTGAAACTTGTGCAACAACAATCAGCATAAAGTCCTGGGTCCGTAGGTTAAAGGTAACTTGTGACAGCGTCACGTCCAACGGTGGATGCTGCCTCAAAGGACACATGACGTATGAGTATAGCTGCAGCCACTCAGCCCTCCCTCCAAGCTTTCATCTGCCACCAGTGGGAACGGGGCAGCAAATTACCCAAAGTCCAAAGAGCCCAGGCAGAGACATTACACAGCTGTCAGAAACAGACATATTGGTATGGAACATACATATACTAAAAACTGGCCCCTATGCAAGGATCACACGCAAACTTCTGGGGTGGTCTGTGGTTCGGCTTTTTAGAAGGTCCAAAATCCAGAGGCCGGGAGCGCCATTATGTTCTTGGGCTCTTGAGTGCGGCCCAATTGCTCCAAGGAGGAGCTGAACCTGCTTTGTAAACTCTACGTTGCTTTGGATATGAGTGTATGCTAAATTAGCATTTATAAGTCACTCAATCATGGTAGAAAAGAGAAATTCCAGCAAAGGACAACATAATATATTCTCACATGAAACTCACCAGTTACAGTTAACCAGAATCCAGAATTCTGTTTCGCCATGCCTTAGATCTTCGTGGATTCACAGACTTGACATCATCATTATAAACATCATTGCACAAAGATGCTAAAACTTTAACACCTGACCAAGAGCAGATCATCGACCTTCAGGTACGGCTGATACAGGGCTATGAAGCCCAGACCTTACTGTGTACAGGTGTAAGCTTTGGGTAAACATTATCTGTGGAGGATTGCAAGGTATTAGCAGATGTCCCTGGGATGCAAATAGGGTTCTGCGTATGTTCTGAATTACCTGTTAGCCTCCTTGTCAACACACAAAGGCATTGGGGGAAGCCCCATTATTAAAACGAAGGTGAAGATAACCCTGCCTGTGCAGGACCTTCACACTCCAACTGGCCTACTCTGACATTTCATTAACACCTGAACAGTTTACGGTTGGCTTATCATTAAACTCCTGACAGGGAATGACAGAGCCGTCAAATGTTATGCCAACCGCCTTTTATCGGGAGTTGTCCTCATAACAGGCTCTTGGCCTCGGCGTGGCCTTTGCCTTCCTGTCTTCAGGCAGAAGCTGTAGCATCTCAAGAGGTTAGGCCTACAGTATAACAAAAGCAACAAAGATACTATGGAGATGGATGCAGACTGCGTGGTATTTTGCAGTCTTACTGTGAGTTTAATCGTTTAAAATTAAACTAAGCATGCGTAATGTCTATTTACTGGACATATTGTAAAGAATGACAAAAACCGCGACTGTGTTAAAAAAAAAAAACGTGTCGTCATTCGTCATGCTACGGAGTCCCTGCATGCACTTCAGCTCCCCCTATTATTATTAATTTGCGCACAAGAGGGTCGGCCAAATTGAACGGAAACCTGCTCCAGCGAAAAGCCACCCGTGCAAATTAAGGTTAACAACTGCAATGTGAGGGAAATATGTGTTATAACCTACAATACACAGGCTGCCAGGATTGTTTTTTTTTTCGCTGGCAGGTCCTATAGTGATCATTAAGACGGGGTGTACACGGGGAAAATATTTTAATATAATTTCAGACCGCGTTTCTTGCAGTTATTCCCGACAGGGAGAAATGATTTTGCCTAATCGAATTTCGCATTTTGTCTCGAAACCGTTTTTTCGCGACTGAATCAACCCATTGGCAGGACGTAGCCTACAAAGTATGGTCGGGTGAATACAAAAATATGCAAACACTTTATCCATGTAGCCAAAATGTACATGACCCACGACAAAGCACTGTGCTCTTATTAACACGTGTCCGGTGTTTGTTTAGACCAGCTGTTAAAGCACTCTTTCTACGTCCTGCCCCCAGGCGTCTCGGCCAATCAGAGCAGGCGGATGACGTGGGGCGTGGCCTAGTCCTTGCGTATTCCTTTCTATTCGCATTTGGCGGGAGAACGAACAGACAGAAAAGCCGGAAGTGGAGTTTTAGGAGAGTGTGTTACCTTGTTCGATTTAAGTATATTTAGTCTTAATATATGTTACAGTTTCTAATAGTATGTTATTTGTGTAATATAATCGTATTCCTAATAATGATGGTTAGATACCACCGGCTTTGTTTTACTTTAGAGTGCATATCGAGTTTGTAAATAATATAGCCACCGTCAATTTTTGGGCTGCATATTTCAGTATTTAGTTTTATCGGAAATATTTATTTAGGTACAACTTGTTTAAAGAAGAAGGATTTAATTACTTCACTGAAGAAATTCCCTGCGTGAGATGGACGAGGAGTTCAGCCCGTCTCTCACCCCGCCGGTGTCGCCCTTCGCGGTGGATAGCCAGTGTGACTCGGTGCTGGCTCCACCGCCCTGCTTCTCCTGTCTGTCCCAGCCAGTCAGGGATGAATCAGGCCTATTAGCCCCCGATGGGTACGTGGCCAAGGGAGCCTTGAAGAGGTAAGTACCATCAGATAGGTCTGGGTTAAATGTCTGGTTCGTAGAAGAACACGTCTGCTTATGCTTATGTCGAAGGTTATTGCTGAAACTGGACCCTGCCCCCGCGGATTATGAGACGGACATGGTGGACCTTTTCGGCTTCTCCTGGGTGACCGAGACTGCGATGGTGGAGTCCACCACACTCCTTTTTAACCTGTTCAGGTAGGCCTGTGGTTTTTGGCCATTAAGGACGTCGTTCTCTCCCATCCTTACTGCAGATGTTTGACATTCAGACCAGAATGTAACTGCGAGTACCACTGAGATGACTTAGAGGGCAAATCTGTGTGTTGATGCTGACTTGGCCATCATCTGGTTGTTCGTCTCTAACCTGGATCCACCTAGGACATATGCTACTTAGATGATAAAGACATTTTACTGACCTTTAGAGTCTGTGGCTAGCATTGTACCCCTGATCTAAGGGTTCAGGGACAATTAGCACATATACTACTAGTCAAAAGCCTTTGCTCACTACAGGGTTTTTACCACTTTTCCATTTATTTCATAATTTGCAGGTTTTTTTTTCTTGGCAAGTTTAGTGAACAATTATAAATGAAAATGTAAGTCAAGTAAAACAAGTTTCCATTATAACATGGAAAGAGTATGTAACAGTGCATGTCTGACATCCTATTAACTGGTTGTGTGGTGATGTCATAGTCAAATTCTAGGCTGGAATTTTCTCTGCTGTTATAACTGCTAGAGGTTACTTTGATGAATCAAAGATATGACATTTTCTTGCTAATAAAGGTATTCAAATGGTGAACATACTGTAAATTTGTTAGCAAAGAATATTGAGAGCAGTTTTAGTAAATTTCAAGTAACATGCAAATGTAGAATATCTCATGCAAAAACTTTTGACTGGTTTTGTGTATGATGGTTGGCTGGAAACACAAATAATAACATAAAATTACTTGCAGACTATTTTTTTCCCTTAGTCTGCGAGTCAGTTACAGTGTGTGTATGTACGCATTCACACACATGCATTCAAATGTTTAGGAACTTTTCCCCTTAGGTTTACCTTGGATAATAGTTATTATACAGCATGAATGTAAATGTGAGGTAGGGGCTGTGTTAGGCTTGGATGCCGTATATAGCCTTGTATGTAATTTGCAGCTGTAGTATCGCTTGACTAGCTGCAGTGCTCCTTGCATAGCGATCTTGGGCTGAATTAGCTGCACTGGGTGGTGCTTCACTGGCAGTTCCCACCTGTTTCTGCAGGCAGGCGTTCCTCAGGCTGGAGAACCTGGCGCTGTCCGGCACACACGACTTCGGTAAAGGAGCCTCGGAACCCGCCGCCCCCCCGTGGCCCCGTCTCAGCGAGAGCCGTTCCTCGTCTCTTTGATGGTTGTGTCCTTTGAGGCGTTACAGGTTCTCAGTGGGCTGAGATCTTCACCCGATCTGTGTTCCAGGACAAGCGTACAGCCATCATTCCCAGGCTGAGCAGCTCCGTCAGCATTGTGTGCGATTCCTCCAGTACGTCAGGGTCTTCATCTCAAGGTGAAACGAGGCCATCTGCATATACACTGCTTCAGTGGTGACATCACATTGACATGTGTTTTTCAGTAGATCATGAACACCGTGTAGGGCAGGAGTACTCAATTGGTCGGAGAAACACAATTTAATCCGGTCCGTGTGAGCAGTTGGCTTTTTGTGCCTGATGGAATTCGGACCTGGGAAGATAATCGAATACCTTTGGTGTGCAACACTGTGCGAAAGTCTCAGGCAGCCAGAGAAAGTGATGTTTAAATGATCTTCATTGGTGTAAAACTGATGTTATGCATCACAGTCTATTAGCTTAGTCATTTCCCAGCCTCTGCTAAAATCACCCCTGTATTTGCCCAAACCATATAATACACACATATTTTTTTAACGTGACCACTAGCAGACCTATGTATAGCTAATCAATATCTAATTGACTTTTTAAGCTAATTTAATTAATTGATTAAATTTCACAAATACATGGAATGGCTGGGGTGCCCGTGAGGAGAGGTTTGGGAACTGAAGCGGTGTTCATCTAACCATCCAACAAGACATCAGTAACTTTAGTAGAACAGAAGAAATTCTTCCTAGATCTTATTGTATTACTCTAAAATTTTCACATATTCTAATGCTAAATTGTGTAAAATTAACTTTAAACATTTATTTTGACTGCCTAAGACTGTTGCACAGCACTGTAGATTATCTAATGGTGAGCACACAGCACGTGCACGTGACATTTCACTTCACTATGGCCAAAGAATTCCACGTAGATGCTCCACTAGGTGGATCTGTGCTGCTGAGCATGTAGCTGCGGGGTCATCCTGCCAGCTGGGCTCGTTTCCATGAGCACCTTAATAAGATCAGAGTATCGCCCCCTTGTGGAGTCTCATGTAAAATGCAGGCGAATAAGCGATGACATTTGACAGTTCAGATGAAGGCACGGGGCATTGTGGCCAGTACCTGGGAGCCAGATGAACACATCTCATATGCCCCAGGTACATGCTGCCTCCTCGGGACCTGGAGGACACTGCCTCACACCCCTACGTGGCCCTGGAAGCCCAGCTCCCCTCGGTGCTGCTGGAGCAGCTCTTTGGGCTCACGCTGCTGGTGGACCGCCTCAAGAACCTGCCCTCCAATCTTCAGGCCTGCCTGGCTATGCAGCACCAGGGCACTCGGCTGCCCCCGGCCTGGCACCTCCTGCACCTGCACATGGATGTCCACTGGTCTGTGCTGGAGATCCTGCACCTCCTGGAGGAGAGGATGATGGGTAAGTCGGCTCTCTACACCATCTCTGCTATGCAGTCGGGGCTAATCCTGGGATAAAACACTATGTACGCCGCCGCCCTACAGGTCAGGTGGTGTATGCGCAGCAGCTCGTGGACCTGACTGGAGAGAACTTCACCAACGTCAGTCTGTTTGAAAAGCAGGTGACCAGCCTGCTGCTAGATCTGATTGGTCTGGCCATGACACAGTACAGCAAGGTAAGTGCCGTGGTTCTATTAGTGACAGGAGGTTTAGGGAGGTGGAATTAACCCCCTCCCCCATTACACCGCAGGTAAGACCCACAGAAGCCTTGGCCATACCCCCCTACCACTGCATCTGTACCAAGGAGCTGTGGGTGCTGCTCGTACACCTGTTGGACCACCGGAGTAGAACCTTGCACACTCAGGTGTGTTTCACAACGTGTGAGGGTAACAGTGATGCAGCTGGGCTATAATGGGAGACTGTGTGTGTGTGTGTGTGTTTTTCTGGGGGAAGTGTGTGCTCAGTAGGTCTCTGTGTGTGATCAGAAGGTTGCTGGTTCTAGCCCCGATTTTGGCAATATGTCCGATAGGCCCTCGATCAAAGCCCTTAACCCACTGAAATGCTTCAGGGGTGCCAGATAAGTGGATGACCCTGTGCTTGGACCCCAAACTTCATTTTCAGTTGTGTACGTGTGAGTGTATGTCTCAAATTTGAATACGTAGTTGTGGTCGTATTGGTCCAAATGCCAAATGAACCATAATTTCCTTTCCTTTCCTAAATATCCCCAATGCTTAATCTCAGTCCTTCTGGAGCTACCTAAACAAACTGCTGTGGAGCGTCCTGAAGGGGGAGCCCCAGGACAGGCTGGTGGACGGGCTCGCTCCCTGCAAGGACCCGCTGGGGTTCACATGGTGGCTGCTGACTCACCTGGCGGAACTCGGGCAGACGTGCAGCAACGGGACTCACCAGGATGAGGTAGGAAGGGCCCGGAGGGGGCGGGGCCACTGGCACCCCCTACAGGTCACAGCGGTAACCCCTCCGGCCGTCCTGCAGAAGCTGAAGGAGAACTGGAGCTTCGTGGCGGCGCTGTTGAAGTCCAGCCTCGGCTCTCAGGTGGGCCCCCCCCCCCGGCGAGCTCCGCCACAGTGCCCGCACCCCACCGGCGAGCTCCGCCACAGGGCCCGCACCCCACCAGTCTGTCGCCTTACGACCCGCCTTTGCCTCGCAACCCCAGGGTCTGGAGGAGGAGCAGCTGCGGCTCGTCCTTCACTGCTGCCTCAGCCTCTGTCTGTTGTGGGAGCCCAGCGTTTCCGTGGTTACTGCGCTATGGGAGCACTTCAGTAAGAACCTGGTACGCTGCTGTCTGCCATGTGCCTGTGAGCCACTTTGGTTAAAAGCATCTCCAAATCAGTGAATGTGCCGCCTTGTGCGGTAGGAGCCGTGATGGGCGCGGACGGCATTTATTATTAATAATATTCATACCGTCATACCTTTCATACATCATACTGCAATATACGGTATTTTAACGGTATTTTCGAAAGCTACGCTATTTTGAAATCTTGCCTATTGAAATCCGTTGAGTGGGGGGGGAGGTGCCCCACAATATGTTTTACCAAATGGCGAATTTTGTTGCTAAGGTTTCGAAATATGGCGGTATACTGCACCACTGTAATCCCCCCCCCCCCAAGCCTGGGGTGTGTAACTCCCTGAGCCGCCCTTGTGCGGAGCTCTGCTGTGTTCACGCCTCCTACTGCCCGCCTGCCTCCTCCCCAGAACAGCGCCTTCACGGTGCCCTGGCTGGGCGTGTCCGGGCTGGGTAGCGTGAGCCGGACGCCCCTCTCCCTGCTGGAACTCGCCCGCAGCTGCTGCGCGTCAGGGCCCCCCGACCCCGCCCAGCTTCGCTCCGCCAGCCACGTCCAGCTCTATCGCTCCTCCAACTCCTTCCACATGTTCCTGCGCATCCTAGCTGTGTACCTGTCCAAGGGCACCGGTGACGGCGCCCCCTGGAGGCAGATAAAGGGAAGGTGAGGATGGGACCCTAGGGTATCTATATCTGTGGCTCCTCCTATTGGCTTACTTCTGTGGCTGGGGGTCTTCTCATTGGCTGAGCTCTGTGGCTGGAGCAGTGCTCATTGGCTGAGCTTAGTGGCATCCCCCCATGAGTGTCAGCTCATTCGAGATATTTGTGTTTTCAGGGAGTTGTTCCTTCCTGGATTCCCAACCAGCAGTTTGTTTGTTTTGTGCCCACCACAGGATATACTCCAAGTTCCACCAGCGGCGCATGATGGAGCTGTCGGAGAGGGGGCTGATGCACTTCCTGTTGCTCTTCCTGGTGTTGGGCCGACAGGCAGAGCTGGAAGATGCGTGCGGCCGCGCTGGCGAGCTGCTGGAGCTGCGGCCCTCCAGCTCGCTGTCCATCGCCCAGCAGGCGCTGCTGTGGAGGGGCCAGCTGGCCTTCGTGCTGCTCTTCCAGGAGCGCGGGCTGGACGTGGCGGCGTTGGCCGAGCGGGTGGGCGGGGCCTTCGCTCAGGCCGCCCGCGACTTTTACCTGAAGACCACGGAGGCGGCGCGTAAGCTGGCGCTCTGGCCGCTGCTGGGAAGCTACATGGAGGGCGTGCAGGAGGTGATGGAGAGCGGCCGCCACCTCCACCTGTCCGAGGAGCGGCTCCTCAACCAGGGCTTCGGCCTCCTCCTGCCTGCGTGCCGCCAGTCGGAGCTGGGCTCAGCCCTCGGCTTCCTGCAGGCCGCACTGGCCCAGCTACGGTGAGGACGTGCCAGGGCTACTGTGAACTTAGCATAAGATGCTAAAGTAAGATAAAACACTACAACTAAGAGGGAACTATAGAACTAACGAATAAAACAAACAATACTTTCCGGTACCTTTTTTGATACTATTTAGCCAAAATAATGACTTGTTTATCTTTTAATTACCTTTAATAATATCTGGAATGAGTTTTGCCCATTTTCGGGACATTAGCTTATGATGCCCACTGTGCATTCATGTACGATTTTCTAAAGATCACACACATAACGTAGCGCCACAACTTTCAGTCTATCTCTAGACGTAAAATTGCTAAATCTTAGATATCTATTTTAGTTTATTTAGTTTGTATATATCTAAAAAGAAGCTAATTTAAAGCAAACAAAACCACACTAATCACTAAGATTAAAACTAATCTGGATTAAAGTTGAAAATAATATAACGACTAAGAACCTCATCCTTGGGGGGTCCTACCTCACGACTTAGTCGCGTCCAGGGACTCGTGGGCAGAGTCTGCCCCCCGGTGGCCGCCCGTGGCGTTTTCCGACACGTCATTCTGATTCCGCGCACATGGCTCGGAAGTGTGTTCCCCGTGTGGTGGTGGGGGCGTAATTACGACGCCGCCCTGATTACAGGCGACCGAGTGGGCAGACGCCAGAGACATTAAGGCACAGCTGGAAGGGGCCGGGGGGGTCTAGCCGTTATCTGGTGGCTGCCTCCATTTAATATGTGCCGTCGGATTCATCGTGACCATGCCGCCAGTGGGGGCTCTCCCGTCTGATCTCGGGTATCGCTGTCGTGCGAGACACAGGTGGTGACTGACGGCTGATTGGCTCACAGGGTCGGCCAATGAACAGGCTCCTTAAAGCTCGCGTTTAACACAACCGCCTCTGGTGGCCTGTTTGGTCTCAACTTCTGCATATGGTCTGGTACCTGCTGTGTGTGTGTGTGTGTGTGTGTGTGTGTGTGTGTGTGTGTGTGTGTGTGTTCTGAGGTTTTCAGCCTGACAGTATCTGAAAGGTGCTGTAAACTTGTCCCATCCTTAGGGGGCGACCATGAGGGGGCTGCCAAAAGCCTGGCTGTTGCCGGGTGGTGATGGGGGAGGATGGGGCTGTGGGTGTGGCTATGTGCATGACCTCTCACTCTGCGTATCTTTCCTAGGCGGGTCCAGCAGCACTCCGCTCAGGCCCCTCCCCCCAGTGTGGCCAAAGAGTGCCACCTGGCTGTGGCAGCTGCCCTCTGGGCCAACTTCTTCCCCTTCCTGCGCAACCTGCGACTGTCCCAGACTCCTCCTGCGCAGCTGGCTGACTGTGCTGCAGGTCAGCAGGAATGAAGCACACTCACCCCCCCGCCACCCCCCACCGTCCCTGATATCACACTCAGATTTCACTGGTTCGCCTTCAGCTGTACCCTTGAACCACAACCTAAGTTAGAATGTTTGGAGGACGTTCAATGATCCCCTTCAAATTGTTAATCTTAAGGGATCCCCCTCTGCCCCTTGTGGATTCCCCAGGATTCTGCCTGCTGGCTCTGGACCTGCCCAGTTCTGCCCCCCAAGACCTGCAGCCCCAGCCTGCCCTGTCCATGATGACCACCTTTGCTTGGGATGAGATGTTGCACCCCCTAGTGGTGACTCGTTATCTCACCCACCTTCTCCATGACAGGTGGGGTTTGATGGACAGGTGAGCGGAACATTGTACGGGGGCGACGTTCTGAATGCGGTGTCTGTTTTCCTCCCTTCACAGCACCTTGGTGTCCTCAATGACCGCTGCGTCTGGTTCTGCTCAGGCCCTGTGCATCCGGGCCTGGATCCGGTGTGTTCTACAGCAGCACGTCCACAAGGGCGTCGACGGGTCCGAGAGCAGAGCAGGTACACGGCTCTCAGCGTGGCGTCCTGTTACCTTGGTTGCACAGCCGTCGTGGCCCGGTTAAGTTTAGCCTGCTCACCTGGTCACTGGCTGGTGTTCCAGACAAGATGCTGAGAGACCAGCTGAATGAGCTCACTAGGCTGGTGTTCCGGCTGCCGGAGGTGGAGTCACTCCTGCAGGAGGCGGTGGAGGTGCAGCCTTCAGCCCGACAGGAGCCTGGAGCAGCTGTGGCGGTTTTTATCAAGGTACACACACCCAACACAGTCCACACACACACATGCTCCATCCCGATGTCAGCCAATCAGACACCTTCTTCTGACAGGTGGTGGGCGGGGCCTACCGCCGGCTGCAGAATTTGGCTGAGCGCTCTCACCTGGTCACGCGTGCCTTAGACTACATCGGGGACGTCCTCAAGCACGTGAAGCCCTACCTGGCCAATCGGAGCCCACCAGAGGGTCTTCAGCTGGCGTACCGCACCGTGGGTACGTACCCGCACCCTGGGGCAGCTTCATGACATCAGCACCTTTAGTGTGAATGGGGTATCAGTCTTACCTGTTTGTTCCCATCAGGGTGCCTGGTGAAGCAGTGGAGCCCCCTGCTGGCCACCTCTAAGGCCCAGCAGCTGCTCTTCCGTATCGTGGATGTGCTTCTACTTCCTCACGCGCTTTTCCAGCAGGACAAGAACCTGCCAGCAGCCATGCTGAGCGCCGTCAGGGACAGCCTGCCTCTATACCTGCAGGTGGGCCTCGCCCCCATGTTACGCACAGGCCCTGCCCACATCACAGCCCCACCCACTTTTTCTATACTCCGCCCTATTTCCCACAGGGCCTCTCCGAGGCAGCCGGTACGTCCCAGACACAGGGGGCCTACCTGAGACAGCAGCTTCGCAGCGTTATCGCCCACTACCTGGAACGCTTTTTCCCAGCCACGCCTGCGGCGGCAGCCCTGGCCGAACACCCCATCTTACTCGCTGTACGTGACGCTCCTCCTGGCCACAAGGGGGCAGTGCTGAGCCAGACTGTGCTGCAGGTGCTCAGGTAAGACGCGCCGCCTTTGCTAACTAGTCCATGTGTTTATGAAGCGTGAGGTTTCTGTTTAATAGCAAACATGTCCTGTGTTGACAGTAATCACATAGTGCAGTGTAGAGGTCCGGCCTCCTACAGTAAGCTGGCAATGATGCTGGCCTTCCTCTTCGAGATGCTGAAGCGGACCAGGCACCTCGAACGCCCTCTGCTCGCCCTACCCCTGCCGGCTGTCCTCCACTGCCTCCTGCTGGTCAGCGAGTCGCAGGGTGAGCCCCCCTTCCCCAGCTTGGCCTTCGTATTAGGGCCGGCTCTGTTTAAGGTGGATTTAAGGCCTGTAATCTGTAAACACAATGCCTGCTGTGGAGTGGGCTCCATTCTATCCTGGGGCCTATTTCAAGAAGCAGGTTGTTGTGCTTAGCTGGATAACTTGTTGGATTTAAGGTAGTCTGGGGCTAAATGTAAGTGAATGAAGATAAAGTCTATTTAGCCCAGACTACCTTAAATCTTTCCAGCTAGGCAGGAAATTCTGCTTTTTGAAAGAGGTCCCTGTTCTGTTCTTTCAGTCAGGAAGCTAAGCACCGACGTACTGCAGCTGCTGTTTGAGTTGCACGCGTCTGATACACCAGATGGGTCATGTGACCAAGTCTCCGCTGTTTTGAAGTGAGTGACATCAGCGCGGATCCCTGGCTGACCTCTGTGTGTATGTTTGCTGGCCTTCCTGATGAGTGATGTTTGCGGTTTAGGTCCTTCGTGGAGGAGAACGTGGACACGTACGATCAGCAGGTGTACGGTGTCTTGGAGCTGGTGGCGCTCCTGGACCGGGTTGCCGTGGAGACTCTCATCCCCGTCCTGACGCTACGGCTGAGGAGCACGGAGCACAAGCGAGGCCTGGGCAGGAATGCCACGCTGAGGTGGGCTTCGCTGAGACGCCGGAACGGGAGGGGGGGCGACCACAAATCAGACTGTCCGTGAGGCTGACCCAAACCACAGAGAAGCCACCTAGTGTCCAGAAGCCAGAACTACATGAGTGTGTTTATCAGATCAGTGACATGTACTATGAAGCAAGTTTTATATGCCCTAGTCGACTCAATAGAGCTGTGTTAACTATCACAATCTGCGTTAAATGGAACTACGATGGTGGTTATCACCTCGATTAAAACCACTCGGGATGTCTTAATGGAGCCGTCCGCGTTCATATAAAAAGGGCAGTCAGCATTGCAAACTAAGGATGCAAACTAACATCCACCCTTTGATAAGTAGGTCATAACCCTGCCCCGGTGAATTTTCTCATCAGCCCCTGGAAAATGTGAACCGCTTTTCACCTTTTTTGGTTAGACGTACAGTGTAAATTTACTGTGGCAATGTACCCTGTGCGTGAGTGAGCTACAATTTTGTGGTCCACAAACCTCCCTAAGCCTGTACACTCTGTGTAATGCAGCCCTCGGGTCTGTTTGTTACCGACTTCGTGACTCAAACAGGATCGTGGGCGCGAGCTGCCCGTCCCAACTCCCTCGGCACGATGCGTTTTTAATAAATCAGACTTTATCTTTAAATGGCGGAATTTCCCGGTGAGCTCTCTGAAAAGCAGCGTGACCCTTATCCCGTTTCCAGGAACACCTACAAGAAGCTGTTGTCTAGCCTGGGAGAGCGTGGGATCGCCGAGATGGCCAGCTTGGACCGCGACTGACGCTGGGTGTTTCATGCCTCCCCGTCGTCTGCCAGATTCCGATCATGTATACATTGTACATAGAGAAACAGTACTTTCTTTGTAATAAATTTCAAAAATGGTGCCTGTTGTTCGATCAGCCCATTCTCAGCACTGTGACTATGAAAGAGAACTTGTGTGGGTTTGGGTTCAATGTGAGTGATCAGCAAAGGTCCAGCTGAATACCCAGAACTTTGTTTTCAAGGTGGGCCAGAATATAACACTCAGACAGGTGATGCTTTTACCAAATTTTTATGCTGAGTTGTCACCAGTCATTCACAAAAACTGCAGCTGTTTCTGCACATAAAACAATGTTTCAATTAGGATTTTTATAATACACTTTCATGATTTCCACAAGCTGTAGGAGCAATACACACCAGATCAGGTGGAAGGTTGAGGCTCACACACACACATAGTGTGTGTCCAGGGGAAGTGTATAGATTACAGTGTGTCTTGCTACATGGTGCATGCCCTGTCATCAGTCTGAAGGCCAGTAGGCCAGAGAATTTTGACCTTGTTAAACCAATTATGTTCTAAAGCTGTGATGTAGATCTGGAAAGCTGGGCGACTGATCACTGTCGGTGGCATACAAAAGAGTTAGTATTAGGCTACAGCACCAAGTCAGTCAGCACATGCTGACCTCCAGCAAAGGTCTGTGAACCAGATGAGGACGCCACCTACTGCTCTGGAGGAGTACCAGCAGTCTGGAGTGCAGGGGTTTTTAGGAAGCCCAGGAGGAGCAGAGCTGATGACCTCAGGTGACGCGACCCAGTGCAATGGGACAGTGGTTTTCTTTTTGGAGGTGCCTGGTGTTGCTGGATGTGAGATTAGCTGACTGAGGAAGAACCAAGGTCTCAAAGGTGATCTCCACCTTCGACATGTTCCGTTCCATTGCTCTTTTTGCGGCGATCTTTGCCATCCCTGGAGGACTGCATGTGTGAAGGTCACCTGTGCCTGCAATGTTTCATCCTCAACGATGTTATGGCTTCCAGTCTACAGACACCAGTTTAATTTCCGTGTGAATGTATTTAAGGAATGGGAGGGCTGCAAGGAAGTGTGTGTGTGTGCGTGTGTGTGTGTCTGTGTGTGTGTGTTACAGAGCTCCCATCCGATGGTGTGGCACCTGCAGCGTCTGTAAGTTGGGGCAGGCAAAGTGAGGTGCTGGCAGGAAGCACCCCGCGACGCCGTTGGACGCAAACGGGAGCGTAGGGCCGTAGAAGACCTCCTCCTTCCCCTCCGCGCTGACATCGAGGACCTGAAGGCCAGTAGGATGCATTGTTTAGCAGGTGGCCCTATGCTAAAGTTAGAATCCTTATTAAAGTAGGACTGAATGCAAGTACGGTCACCTGGATGCAAGACAAGGGCTCATTGGTCCAGATGGAGTATCCGCCCACCACATAAATCCTGTCGTCGTGAACGGCCACCCCGGCCTCGTTCTGCCCTGCAGTGGACAGGCTGAGTTACCGCCATATATCTCCTAGGGGGGGGTCCATGGGGCTCGACGGGGGGGGTGCTAACCTGTCAGCAGGCTGAAGGTGCAGCGACTCCACTGGTCAGCGTCCACTGCGTACGAGTCGATGTGGCGCACCAGGACCCGGTCGTTGTTGAAGTCCAGGTCGTTCCCGCCCAGCACGTAGAGGTGGCGCCGCACAGTGGCCATAACGTGGTATACCCTCCTCTGGAGCATGGGGCAGTGAGCCAGCCAGTGGTCCTGTCCCGGGGGGGGGGGGCAGCAAGGCAAGTCCAGTCAAGTGAAGTGGGCTTTACCATAACACCATCCATATACAGATATACAGTGACAGGAAATGACATTGCCAGTTATGGGGGGAGGGTTTTCACAGGACGCAAAGTGTATAACATAGGACAGTGTGAAATGGGGGGGCTGAACATGAGAGTTTTGATGGCAGAGTAATGTACTGTGGTTTGCCTCTGTGGGGCAGTACAGCCTTCCCTAAAATTTAGGGAGCGTGTATGTTTGATTTGTTCAGGGTGTGCGGGTCCGTCGCATACCTGCACTGGGTCATACGCCAGAAGTCTGTTTTGGTACTGGGCGGTGTTTGTGACCCCACCTGGAAGAAGACAGCATCATCAGTGGTGAGCCCCCAGGGCCCCAAAGCACCTGGTAACACAAACAGCAGCTTGAATGTTTAGAGAGACAGGTGTGAGTGTAAGTGTATGACAGGTTCTGCATAATCTAATGTTTGTTAGCGTTTTGAATTGTGAACGTTACCCCGTAGGGGTGTAGTTAGAAATCTGGTACCTCCCCCCCACACCTAGGGGTGCCATGAAGGGGGGGGGGGGGGGGATTAGTGCGATTCCAAAATTGTTCTAAAATTTGGAACATAAAGGCATTGGTCTGGGTTGGGGACTTAATACTGGTACGTTTCCACTGGCACAGAGAACCGAGCCGTATCCGAGCCATACAGCGACATTGCTGTACATCTGACATGGTCCTGCTTACTTGCAGGGCGGAAAGCGTGACCAACCCGAGCTGGTTGCATCACCATCATCTGATTGGTCGAAATGCCCAGAGATACCAGTGTTCTGCGCATGCGATTTTCTGAAGGCAAAAGGCTATATTCTACATATTACTCTTTATTAGTAGTATTGCACATCACGATGTATTGATGCATTCTTGATAACTCAAAACCTGAAAATTTCCAACTTTCTACTTAAAAAAGTACTATAGAACAGCTGAATGGAATGCATTCTTAATGCAAATTTATGCAAGCGAATGCTAATTCTGCTAGCATTTCTTGCTCCCATAACATGCTGATTCTCACAGAAAATTAAGTAATCATGATGTACACCATCTGAATAGTAAGTAAACGTCACGGTCGCTCTCCAGACCCGGCAACGCCTTTACCGAGCCGAACCCTTCTGCAGTGGAATACTGAAGCCAGCTGGAACCGTGCTGTACGTAGTGTGTCTTTACAGTACGGCTCGGGTACGAGTCAGGTCCTGTATGCCAGTGGAAAAGCGCCATATGATATTCTGCTTTCATGGGGCCCAAAATCTCTAGCGACATCCCTGAATCTACCAGGGTATCTGTGCCCTAACTGCATCAGTACCTGAAACCCAAAGCAGCCCGTCAGCGACACAGCCAGCGTGGCAGGACAGCGAGCGGTCAAACGCCTGCACGAAGGTCCACTTGTTCTTCTTAGGGCAGTAGCGCTCCACCGTGGGCAGGACCTGCCCGAGCTCGTTGCGGCCGCCGGCTGCGTACAGGAAGTGGCCCAGCGATGCCAGGACAAAGTGCTCGCGGCACGCCTTCATCGGGGCGATGTCCACCCAGGCATCACGGCGCGGGTCGTAGCGGCAGGCTGTGCGCACGGCACACGTCCGGCCAGTAGTATGCTCTGCCTCGCCGCCCACCACGAACAGGAAGTGGCCCATGAGCGCCACGCAGTGGTGGCTCCGGCCCGTCACCATGGGCGCCAGCTCGCCCCAGTTGGAGGCACCGGCCAGGTGCGCGTGCTCCTGCTCGGCGGGGTTGAAGAAGCGCAGCTCACGGACCCGGCTCACCTCACGCTTCCGCCCGCCGGCTACATACAGCGTGTGCGAGCGGAACCGGGGCCGAGTGCGTGCCGTCTGCCGCAGCGGCTGGGCGAAGGTGGCACGCTGGTATTCCAGCGCCTCGCCCACCAGCGCCGACAGCGCGCTGCTGGCCTGCACCAGTGGGTGGCAGTGCGCCAGGCGATGCAACGTCGACGTCTCCATCAGGCTGTAGCGGACATGCTGCAGCAGGTCATCAGCATAGCGGTACCTGTGGTCCTGCTCCAACCACCGCATCACCAGCTACAAGAAGGGTGAAAAAAAACAGAGGAGGACCTCCTACCCCTGTCTACTGCAGCGCCCCCTAGCGGTGGGCAGCATCTGCTTAGAACGGCCCCTACCAGCCAGATCTGCTCCTCATTGAGGGACGTGAGCTGGTCGCTCTTCAGCACCTCCTTTAGCAAGCTGTAGGGGAGCTTGAGCACCTCCTCCTGGTTGGAGTGTTGCAGCTCAGACAGGTGTTCCACCAGGAAGCTGACGACGGCTCGCTCCAGGGCCGGAAGGTGGAACAGGTCGGCCAGTCGGTACATCTCCAGGTAGTTCAAGGTGTTCAGTTCCTGGGTGACAGACAAGCACCGTCACAAGAACAAGGGTAAACGCTCCCTCAGTGGAGATTCGGGAATTCCTTCCTAAATACAACGAATGTCTCGAAGAGTGTACATTTTTGTTATATCCTTTACCTATATTCATTCCATTTCACATTACACCTACTACTACATACTGGACCTGGTTGGTATTCACCTGTATTTAGTAGTTACAAACAAGCAGCTGTATTGTAACTGTTTTACTGAAAGTAATTGTGGTGAACACAATTAACTCAACTATGTTCTAATTTTAACAGTTGTGTTTTGCCTGCAGTTCAAACAAGTTGAACACATAGTAAAAAAAAAAATTGGTAATAATATTCCTCCTCAGCATTCTCCTTAAAACAGAAATGACTCGTAAAACCACACTAGTCACATGACTGTTGCCAGATGATTTTACAAGCAGGTACCATCCCAAAAGCTGCTGAATTTCGTTTTTGTTTAGCGTTTCACATCTGCTTCAACAGCATGTCCTAAACACTGCAGCAGTGGACAGGTCCTCATGTGACAGCCGGGAAGGTCTCACTATCACCCTGCAGCACTCGGACAGAGCGCCACCTGCTGGTAGGAGGATCCAACGTCCCACCTGGATGAGGTAATGAGAGCAGAGATTGAGCAGCTCCAGCAGCTGGAGGTGACTTCCTGCTGAGAGAACATCTTGGATCACACCTGGCTCCAGCAGGACCTGAGGAGAGGAACCTGCACTAGTGACACACCTTTCCGTGTCTGCATGAGCCCAACAAGCCGGCCCGTGTCTGTGCAAACCCAACAAATATCCAGGATACCTAACCCACACACTCCCACCTGCCATTTTCAGCTCAGGTATGACAACCCGCTGAATCATCACCATTGATCTTCAGACACCGTCGAACAGTCTGTCCAAATATACCCGGCTGTATCTTCTGGGAAGGAGATTCACCTGTCCGGTGTAGGCGAAGTCCAGAGA